TATAATCAACAATAACTTGTGTATAACTGCTTGTTCAGCTAAGCAAGAAGGACCGATTTTACTACAGTTTGTTTGTTTTGAATTCAATATTTGTTATTCAGATTGCTATTTCACAAAGATTGAAAAGGAAGTTCGGTCAGAATATATAGGCATTTTGTGGAGAGGATGAAATTCTAAAACAGATTATTTATTTTTCTCGATTTGAAAATGTCACAAAATTTTAAATAACAATTTTAAATATATATCATGTAAGCGGAATGCAAATTTAGATGCCAACTGTCTTCTTTCGGTTCTTTTCAAGCTAAAAAAGTCTTCGACACGGCCATTCATCAAAATTAAAAAATAAGGGAAATTTTCGGAAAGTGTAAGTACTTGTGTTTAATAATAAATGTATGTTAAATTAAAGTGAAATATGTATTATTTGTAGAGTGAAAAGACGAAACAGTTCTTTGGAACTGAAGTTTTTTTTTTTGTTAAAAATTCATCATCAATTGGATCGTTGATGAAAAAAAAAATGAAATTGGATACCTTTTTCTTGGAAAATGTTTGAATTATTCATACCGACAAGTGTTTGATAAGACGGATCTGCTTGGTTTACCATACCGCCCACTGTGGGTGCTACAATTTATAAGTTTCATATCAAATACAAATTTATTTTGGGAAGGATTCGAGAGAATTAAATATTTTTTCTTTCATGATTATATAAGTCAAAAAGAGTTGAATCGATCACATAATTAGAATGGAAAACATCTGATGGATCGAATGGAATTTGAGTTACGTGGAATGACGTGTTCAAGGCCGAAAAAAAGTTGAATCTTCGTCTCGGCATACTCATGTTATTACGTTACTCTACAGCTCCCAGTGATAATTTTCAAAATAGTGTATAAAGTGAAATGTAAAAATTACGCCTAATTTTTTGTGTTTCCTGCAGTGTCGGTTCTGAAAATAACAGTTAAAGTGGATAAGAAATCACAATTTATCACTGAAATTTCTGCAATAACGATCAATATCTCAAGTTGAAATGAACTCGTTCTAAGAAGCTGAGCTTATGAGGCACGAAATCTGGGGATAGTATGACAAGCACAGTTATCGTAATTACAAATAGGAAATTGTAATTGTAGCGATAATCTGAATTTCAATTTGCATAGTAATGATGCACTGAAATTATGACGGTTTTGAATATGTTGTGCTTTAGTTAAATTACCTTTTTTTTCAACGAAAATTTTTTCATTATCCATGCCGACAAGTGTCTGATACTTCGGATCAGCTTGATCTGCCATACCACCAATTTCTGGTACTGCAATTCCGTTATTTCAAATAAAGGAAATATGCGATGCAATTAAACATATTAATTCCTTCAGCTATTTCACTCAAATCAAATTTTTCCGTGTTATTTCTCTTCTGACTGATTTTAATATTCTTTCAAATATTATAAAAGTGTTGAAATATTTCTTTCAACGAATTCCACTTTCTAATGTAAATAAAAATTAGTTATAACTTTAATCTAACCTTTGATAATTTGTTGTTCTGGTGCAACTACTGATCCTATAATTGTTTTTAATTTTGATTATAGTAATAAGATTCCATTTTGCCATTTTCAAAATTTATTAACTTTCTTTTGTTTTCCATCTTTTTTCAATCAAAAGGTCTGTATTTCAAGTAAATTAGTAACGAAATAAAGGAAAAGCTTACTTCTTGAAGCTTTTACTGGTGCTTTTTTATCTTCTGAAAAATTGGCTTATGTGCTATTTAAATTTTAAAATTATTTGTAAAATTCTTTTTAACGGTTCATAAAAATTTGATGCTCTTTTTCTGAACCCTATTAAGAAAACTTTAGCTTGTTGTAGTAAATTAGCAAATGTATTTTCAAAATAAGATTATCATTACAATCAGACGTTTTTTCTTGTTCTGATTTTAAAATTACAGTTACAAATAGTTTTTTAATTTTCTCGACTTAAATAATTTTCTTGCTGCTCAATATTGGCTAATTTAAATCAAAAATACTGAGCAATTAGAAAAAGTGAACAAAAAGCTTAATCTATTTCTGTCTGCAATTTTTTTTTAATTTTTATAAATTTGACCGAAACAATTTCAACGATAATATCTTGCAACACAATAGATCAATATCTGATGGAAATGCATCACTTAGCATTCATCTGCTTATTTTATTAACTAATTTATATCAAAACTTGCAATACAGCGGATGAAAATTACAGTGAAACAGGTAAAGAATAAGCATTTTGTATATTTTTTTGCAGAAAAATTGATTTACTGAATAAAGTGGAGAAAGAAGCTTACGTTTTGGTATGTTCTCATAATGGTTATCTGCAAATTTTTTAAAATTTAGGAAATTGAATTGAAAATTCGATTCAAACTCTAAATTTAGTTTAAAGGAAAAACATTCAAAAAGTAAGTTACCTTCGATTTGCTTTTCGGAAGGCGGACTTTGAGCTGTTTTAGATTTCGGAATATTCTTTTCTGTAAAAGACATAATTTTCCCATTGTTATATGTCCATTGTTCTTCTGTTTTATAACTTGAAAAATTCAATATTCTAAAAAATACAAATATATGACACCTCTTTTTTCGGCAGTGAATACATTACTCCCTATTCCGCACATTGTTTCATACTGAGGTTCGTTTCCTGATTTTACCACCTCTTCCACCATTTTTCTTTCTTCTGTCGAAATTTAAAAAATTAAGCTATTTTAAATGCCAATCTTCACATCTTTCATTTATTTAAGAACTAGTATAGTTAGTAATATCATAATTTCTAACACTAATTTACTGCTGAAGCAATTACTGGCAAATAAAAAGTTTTTTTTTTTTTCAATAAGATTGGTAATGGTGAAAACTGGGAAGGGATTTATTTATTTATAAGCGAGGGAAGAATTTATGCAAAATAGTAACTGTACTTTATTGGAATTCGATATAAGAATTCTTATCATATATTAACTTCAGTGAAGTTAATATATGATAAAAAATTGAAATTTAAGAATAAAAAAAATTAGTTGATCAATACAAGATACTCATTTAGATGAAGTTATTTTTGTAGTTGCGTAAGAAATTATAAATTAAAAAATGAAGAGATATTTGTGAAAGAGTGCAATCGTATTCACAATAACTTGAAAATACCATTGACAACTTCCTGAGCGAATTTCTGTCGTTCATTTTGGATAGTTTTAAATGTGACACCAATTTCTTCACATAATTTCTTTTGCAATTCTTCCGATAGTTGGCGTGTTCCAAGACGTGACTCGAGCACGCATACCTTTAATATCCAAAAATATTCTTCGCAAAGCATAAATATCATTCTAACTCACCGCTAACGTCTTTCCTATTTAATCCTATCACTATCGGTGCAGGTAGTTTCGTGATAAGTAGTTGATAAGAAAAAAATTATACTTGAAAATATAGAAAACAAGAATTAACCTTAGCATTGAGAAGAATGAGTTGACGAGTGATACCCCATCTCATGTAGATAAAAATATGTAATATAATGATCAGAGAAATGAATGTCATCAATACAGCTATTACTGCTGATGCTATCAGAATTTTACCATATGATCTGAAGAATTGCCAAACTACACATGTTCTTCATTCAAGGAAAATTTGATCTGATAACATTTATCACACAATCAAATAATACTTCTTCAATTAATATCATGGCTTACTTCATTTCTGTTTCAGCAAGTTCTCTCCTGAAATGTTTTACCGATACTACTAGCTCATAATCTGTGATAATTTCCGCAGCACCTACAAAATTATCGATGAATGTGGAAAGATGCTTTTTATCTATGAAATTTCCAACAAGTGATTCTGCATTCTTCCATAACTTTTTCTGAAAACTTTGACGCCATTATTAAATCTCAATACCCAAGTGTTGCATTTCTTATTAAAGCTTAAAATACTTTGAAGGCTGTAAGACATCAGATAATAGTAATAATGAAACTGAACTGATACATTCATTTATGCTGCGCATGATAAAACTCATCAGATAGAACTATGAAGATTAATTGATTATGATCAAAGCTAGTGATTTTTCACCAAGATTTTGTACATTAAAGAATAATCCATAGAAATATGCGATAAAACACCTCAGAAATGGTCACTAGCAAAAGCATCATTGTTTTAATGAAGTTTGAACACATTTGCAAATGAGGCCTTTTACACGTATCGCCACTCAAGTAATAAATGATATTGATGTCATTTTAATCGTATTTATAAATTCGCCCGGTGATCGGAGTATTGGCATCAAAAAAATTTGCTTTCATGTAAATTTAGAATGGCAACGGGTAAAATTACACTGCCATATGAATCACTTTTCAATAATTCGAATTTTAGCTAATTTTAGATTTTTTAGCTAATTTTGACTTACTGAATCAACCGAAAATCTATAAATTAGTCGAAATTTGATACAACATAAGTTGATCATGTGATTTTAGAATATTTTGTTTCAAATGTTATCAATTGTAACCATTTTTCTGAAAAAGGTAGCAATTAACACGCTCCTGTTTTCTTTTTATTTACTTTTATTTATACATAATGATGGTAAAATAGTCAACACTTTCCCATAGAAGTCGGTATAATTTTAGTAGCAGCTCGACCTATAGTTGGTCTTAAAATCTGGAATGAACATAAAAGATTTTGATCCACGGACATTATTGCTGCAGCATTGTCAAATTGTCCACAATAATGCGGTGCAGAAAATATGGTAACACATTTACGGGCTCCGAAAAATTCATATCCATCTTGTACCACTTGATGAGCACGAGCTACCTGCACGAAACATCGTGGAATTACTTGAGCAGATGAATGAATTTTATTCGTTGTTTCGCCACTTTTGATTAAAATTGTTTAAGAATGGCCAGTTTCTCACCATATCAATATTCAATTTTTTACATAATGTAGCTAAAATATCCGATCCAAATCCAAACGAAGCGCCTCGTATATTTATTTGAAATCCGCTAATACCTATCACCGGATCTGCCCACAATAAATCCATTTCCAACGATGGGCTTGCGATATTCGTTGGCCGCTTAATTTCTCGCAATTGCTGAAGACTTTTCAATTGCGGCGATATACCACCGTGCATGCACAGTATACGCTCACCAACAAGTGCTGTTAATGGCATGCACTGAAATGTGTCCTGCAAAATTAAGCTATTTTAAAAAGCAATTCATCTAGTAATTTTGACTTAAATAATACTTAATAGAGTCAATAGTGAAATGATTGGATGTATCTTTCAATTCTCTTAATTAAATACTGATTAACTTATGCAATTTTTCATGACAATTAGTTAAAAATTAAAAAATTTCTTTTTAATATAATTGAAAAACAATGTAAAAAAAGAATGTCGAAATTGACATAAACTAAGTTTCCTGAACCTGAAATATTTCCCACAGTTGAGCTGAATTAAAACGACGCATACATTCCTCATAAAAGCCATAAACCCGATTAACATTAGCGCATTCGTGGTTACCGCGGAGTAAAAAGAAATTATTTGGAAACTTTACCTGTATAAAAGTTTCCAACTTTTAAGATTACTGCAATGCACGAAAAGAATGGCTGAATTGTGACAGAAAGATTTAAATGCTCAGAATAAATTTGTTAAGAATTATTAAGCACTGTAACTTCAATTTGTGCATTTGTTAATTACTTTAATTGAACACATTCCTTTCATATGACCTCAAAAATTTCATTGCATTCATGAATCATTTTAAAATCATAACATTTCCGATCATAAATAATAGTGCAAACCTTGTAACAGAATAACAATATGATAGTCTCGAGATTCTGTGGTCCACGATCTACATAATCACCCAGGAATAAGTAGTTGGCAAGTGGAGGAAATCCTCCACGACCAAAGATTCGTAACAGGTCACCATATTGACCGTGCGTGTCACCACAAATACGAACCGGTGGATCAATTTCTATCAATGATGGTTGTGCCATGAAAATTTCGCGAGCTTTGTCTAAATTTATATGTTATTTTACGGAATCCATTTGATTCGAGAAAATGCTAATCTCCTGATCGACATTGAAACGATAGCAACAAAATCCGGAAACCTGTCTCTTGGTCAACAAACGAAAACTTTACATATTTTACTTGAGTTTAACAGTATTAACAATAAGTTATTTATTAAAAAACAATAAACTTTCCTTCCTTTTCTTTCCCACCAAATTTTATGCGCAATGCAAAAAGGTTAATTTTTTTATCAGAATTTAAAGTTTGGACCTCTTCGTCGATCTATATTGAACTTGACTGTTCCGATTATTAGGTTACCCCACACAGCGTTTTAATTCGTCCATTCAATTTTCAATATTATTATCTGTTAAATTATACCAGACTAATCTGTTATCTTAAAAGGAACTCACGGCAAAGTGATGCGATTTCAGGTTCGCGAACAGTTTTCGTGAGACCTTTATTCGGTTGTCCAACACTCAACAGTCGCAAAATTAAATCGTCAACATCGATTCTCGTCATTTCTCTAATTTTCGAACTGAAAATTTTATCCCAACTGTCATTCATCAGTTGAATTATAAATATCTGCCATTTATGCAGCGTCTGCAGCGCGGTAGGTGATATAGTTAAGCCATTACTTCACTTTTGCAAAAATCTAATGGACGTAAATCGCTCCCACTGCATCGGTCATAAACCTTACACAGCTTGCTACGTGCTCTGAAAATGTTAAATACAGCCCACCTGCTCCTCGTTAATTCTAACAATAATCACTTTATTCCCCATATTGGAATTTCTTGTACCCTTGACAATTTGCATACTTCACCACAACTATTCCCGCACTATGCTTACCAATAAATTCCAATGCAACATTTCACCCTTTCAAAACCATTTGCATGTTGACTTTAGCAATGAATTGAACCTTTTAACACTTTAAAATTCTTCGCCTCAATTGTTCCATAATATAAAAATTTCATGTGAATTATTCCCAGAATTTATTCCACAGCCTCCATCATTCTTCACAATGATATCAGATTAATCTGCATATTTCATTTGTGATTCATATGCACTCCTCTCAAAATATATTACAATTTATTGTCGTTGTTTCAAGCAAACAAATAAAGAGCCTAATGATTATTGCACATATTTCAATACCGCTCACTGTATAAGAGATTAGATTATTGAAGAAGCAAAAACAAATGAAAAGCTGCTCATTCTGTACCAGATTTCTCTTCGAAGCAGTTTGATGTTTTACATGAAACTTGATTTCTAAACAAATTTAGAAATCGTCCTTTACGTTATTTTCAGAATCAATCAACATCTGTATCTATTATCTTTACTACTCGAAGCTCCGATTGCAACCTGCTGTCCCATTTCATCGGTTCGAAAATGCTCACTAATCTTGATGAAAGGATTTCATCAGCTGCTTTTCTGAAAGACTAATGTTCTGTTAAATTGTTATAAAAAGACTCCTCGAGAATAAAAACTCCAAGTTATTAACTCAAAAAACTACATTCTTCTGCAGAGGTAAAAAAAACTATATTTTTCCACAAGAATTAGAAAATATAAAGCCGCAACAAAAAACATCAACAAATACTAAATTCTGATCGCTTTTAAAATTCTGATCGCTTTTAAAATTACTAAACGAAATAATGGCTCAAAATTACTTTGTTATTAAAACCAAAAGAAAGGAGTTTCTTGGCAGACACAGCTAATTTTATAAATGGTGTGTCCGATGGGTTCGACAAATCCGAAATGGCATTCTCTTCGGGATCTTCTACTGTGATAAGAACTTCGTTTTGGACTTCAACCTGCAAAATTTGTAAAATTTACACGATGATGTAGATGCAATTTAGAAACCCATCAATTTTCTTTAAAATTAGTGAAAAGTATTAAAAAATAGTTTCTCTTATATTCATTCCATCCAAAAAAAGAGGTGACCGACCAAATACAGGTTAAAACTATTTTCAATATTTTTTGCCATTTCAAGCATATTGCTAGGACCACTAAAAATGTCAAATTTTTGAAAAAATTCAACTTATGAAACTAAATTAACTCTGCAATGTCAATTCAAAAAATTTTCGAAATTCACTAATGAAAATGGCACGAAACATCCGTCAATGAACACACCTCTGGCACACTTCAACTTAAAATGCTACGCATTAACAAATAAAAATGTACTTTGAAGTTCATAAAAATAATGATTTAAAAATAAGCTGACAATTTGTTATCTTTTCTAAATCCATTAAAAAAAAGTTTTTGCTTTCAGCTTAAATATGATACCAATCTAAATCTCCATTTACCAGCAATAACTCACTTTTGTGCGCGTCGGATCAGCGTAAGGACTCTGTACATTTGTTTGTGGAAGACGAGAACGAAACAAAAATGTTTTACGTTCGTTGCTTAGTGCCGTTGAAAAGGATAACATACGTAATTCTAGGAAAAACGTAGTAACAAGCCTTCGTAACATAAGGAAATAAAATGAGCAGATCTGAAAGAGGCGTGCAGTAAGGAATGTATTAATTAAATAGTTTACCTTAACCGTCCGTTGCGGACTTACAGGTAGAAAGGATGAGATTAGAAATGGCAAATAACTCCACAACACCATCGCCCACCAAATAATCCTAATCACTCTCGACCATTGTCTACTCATAACAATAGCCAACCGGTCAGTGTTTGAGTTGCGATAGGATATCTGGTAGGCTATGCGACTGTAGTGGAGAGTGGTTGTTGCAGTGGTAGGATTGGTTTTGGTGATTGGAATCGATGAAGAAATCGGCTAATTGATGTTTATCTCTCCAATTAGTACCGTTCGTACGTCTCAACGATGTATAAGCAAAATAGCAAGTCAGCAAACCTCTTCCGCTCTCCGTCGAATCATTTGCACCACAAAATCATCATCTCGGAATACTTCCAGTTTTTTAATAGCATGGTTACGTGGATATCCATCGGTCAGTTATTTGTCGAACTTCATTTATGCATCGAGCTAAAATTCTCATTTAAAGTGCTTTAAATATTTTCAGGTTAATAAGGTAAATCATCGCATGCTGCACAATGTGAAAGGTATCGGTAAAGATAATGAAGAATTTATTGAAAAAGGTGGCGAGAAGATAACATGCAAAATAAGTGAAGTAAGTTGTAGATAATTCAAATTGTAATACAACATTTTAGTGACATTATTTATGATGCTGTTTTCTAACGAGATGTTTTTCTGCATTACAGGATAGTAATATTGGAGCTTCAGCTCTTCCCAAAATGAATGTGAAACCGAGTGTGATTGTTACTAAGTGGGAAACACTAATGAACAGATGTGGGTTATCGGTAAATTTTATCTTCATTTAATTTAGTCGTTTTTTTCTTCTCGACTTATTAGCACAATAAATCATTTATATTCTATTTTGCCTTAGATTGATAGGACTGCTTCAAAGCAAGATCAGAATGCTCAGAAGAGGAAGAGGAGTACAGTACTTGCTATGTTTTTCGTCGCCGGCAGCACATTTTGTGGACTTTTATACTTTTGCTTGTACTATGGTAATGGTTGAAGTTTCGGCAGCTAAAATATCTTTTCGTGATAGCAGAATATTTTGCTCAAAACATTTGTTATATAAAATATGAATAACCGGTGTATTATTTAAAATTAATTTTTTAATACATTCATTTAATGAGATAATGGAAAATACATTCAGTGCAAATCATATAACAAATGGAAGGAAAGATTGGAACAAATCGTGTAGTTCGTTAATTTATATAGAATTGTGGAAAACTAATTGTAGGATGGATGAAAAGAGATGAAAACAGTGCATATACGGGTATATTAGCTCCCTATTATCGTATTAAAGAAGCATGTAGGTCGTGGAGGAATGTGAGTTTTGCATTTTGTTTCAGTTTTAATTTTCATTCTTGAATTAGCATATGGTCTTTTATCAGTATTGTTATAAGAAGGAGAAGTGTGACGTGAACAGCATTGTATTTTCTCTTTGCAAATCAAATGAAAAATACCATGAATATATTATCATATATAGCATTGGTCACTGTTTTCTCATAATTTATTTACAGTTTGTGGTAGAGCCATCCAGAGACAAACTTCTTCCGGATCCATTAAAACCACCATATTGGCAGCCTAAGTATACCGTGGTTATTGAACTAAAGAATGTTTTGGTGGCGCCAGAATGGAGTGTGAGTCTTGGAAATTAATTACTGTTAATAAAAAATGGTGTTTTAAAACTAAAAAAAATTGAATAACCGAGCAATAGTAATATTGAGCCAGTTCTTTCCTATATAAATATTTCTTCTGTTTCTTTTAAACTGTGAGAATTTCAGTATAAAATGGGAAACCGCGTCAAAAAGCGTCCCGCTGTAGATTACCTATTGGACGTAATTGGATATCCTAATTTTGAAGTCGTGATTTATACATCAGAAACTGCACTGAACGCAAGTCCAATAGTTGAAACTTTAGATAGCAAGCAGAAAATCATGTACAAGCTATATCGTGATTGCTGCAAGTACACGAACGGCGTTTATGTTAAGGTAAGTCTAGCCACATATTTACGATCAATTAACACTCTTTCTGTTTTTTTTTAATTTTTTTGTTTTTGATTTTAACCCGGTTATTTTGAAACTTTAGGATCTTTCTAAGCTGAATAGAGACTTGTCAAAGGTCATCTACATTGATTTTGATCCGGAATCGTTTCGATTTAACCCGGAAAATGTGCTACGGTTGCCAAAATGGAATGGCACTCTCGATGACACCGCACTTGTCGACCTTGCTGAACTGCTCAAAAGTAATTTTTTCAATTTTCCACTAGTTCTTATTAAAATGAAACTTTTTCTTGAGGTTATGGATAAGTTTATTGCTTGAATTGAGTTTTTTTTTCAGCAATACATTTATCAGATGTTGATGATGTAAGACCCACGCTTCAATATTATAGTCAATTCGATGATCCACTCAAAGAATTCAGAGAAAGAGCGACGCGAGTTGCTGAACTGGTTATTATTTTTGAATGTGATATTATTTATTATGTAGCCATTGTTTATTCGTTCATTTTTTCTTCTTTTTTCTCAAAATCCAATTTAAATTCCTATCTGCAGTTTTTACATTTCGGTAGCACTAGAAATTCTTCCCAATGTCGGATTATATGTGAAGTTTTTTTTGTTTTCCTATGACGTACTGAATTACAGGAAAAGAAGATGCATCAGATAGAGTCCGAAAAAGAGGCATTTATTGCGCCAGTGAAAAAATATCAAGGTCGATTGTTCGGTTTTCGTCGACATGAGTGATTTTCATTGAAAGTATTCAGTACTGTTGTGAATTGATTTGTTGATGTTTTTCTTATAAAGATTTAATTATTGTTGTCTAATGCGAAATTTTTATTGTTCATTCATAAGTCAAATATTTTTATGAGCATTTTCTTGCACTTATTTATGAACTATCTCCAACGAAAAATAGGGAAGTTTAAAACTTACGAGAAATCAAGCTGTTAGCCAGAATATTGGCCGAAGTTTTCCAGAATTTTTTTTTGTTGATAGAAATCTGTTATGATTTAATTTATGTTTGTTTTGCTGTGTAGAATGGTAATTAGCCTTAATCGTCACTGCATCCTGTTCTTATTTCCTTCATGGCAGAAACTTATTCTAATTTAACTGCTTTTTATGTGTCCTTACTTCATATATCGAATCTACACGCGTAAATGAAGCTTAAAAATTTATTTGTTTATTGGCATATTATTCGCGGTCTTCCACAGCAGTATGTGAATAGTACAAATTTACGGTTACCATATTTGCTTATAAATTTCACAATTGATCCTCCAATACATTATTTATTGTAGAACTCAAATCGGCTCTACTATCTTCATGAGCACTAATCTGCAAGAATGAATCTATTTCAGTCGATCTTTTTGTCATTATGCATTAAATAGGTTATGTTATGGGATAGTTCGAATTGTGGTGAATTGTATAGAAGGTTCATCTAAATTATTGATTTCAGATTTAGATCTCATAAAATTTGAAATGAGAAGACGAGACAATCTGCGACCACCATGAAATAAATTATTAATTAAACAACAATAAATAAATAAATAAAACCAAAGAAATGATAGAAATACGGGAACAGTTTTCAATTTTTCGTAAGTTTCATTGATTTTAAAGCTGCTTCACTGTGTTTTGTTTCATTAATTCAAAACATTTTCTTGTATTCGTTGTCCTTTTAAACTGCATTGGTTTTTATTAGCCGTCATTTTGTTTTTCTTGCAAGAATTGTTCATTAATAGTTGCTAGATATTAATTTTAAACTCCACTGTATTTTATTTAGATGAATTTAACAAATTGGGCGAGTTTATTTTAAGTTCATTTTAATTTTCAGAATTGGCGTTATCATCAATCAGCTAGGTATTAAAAAATGAGTTTGTAAAATAGGACTGGGACGATAAATTTATCATAATGTAAGCAAAATGCTCAAGAAAACTTTCAAATTATTATGAGAAATGTTAAGCGGTAATTTAGGTGCTGTTACCTTATAACGAACGTGATATACGTGGAACCCTTAATAAAAATTTCCCCAGGAAATTAAAATTGATGCTTGATATGATTAAAGCACGTTAGGTACATGGGAAGCTTTAAAAACTGACAAATTAAAACTATCCGATTATGTCTCATTAACATTCTTGCTATCAATTGTATTACTTTAGTTATTATTAATGACAATATATTCAAGGTGGACTTGAATTACCCGAGATAGAATTCAGAGTAATATATTTTAAAGTCTCTTTCGGATAATTTATTTTTCTTTACAGCGTTATTCTTTCAACTGAATCTCAATGTATGTTAGGTCAAAATAATTTAATATTAGTTGACCTTGGACGGATATCTATGTTATTTCAGTCGAACTTTTTTTTTTTCTTCGTGCATTTTTTTCTGAATGGTAACTGAACTACTTTCAATGCTTCGTTTTTTTTAAATCGATAAATTCATTCCCTTTTATTCTCTTAAAAATATTGGCGGATATTGGCGGAAACTTTCGTACAACTTTGTTATAATGTTGCTTGTTTTCTTTTAATATTATCAACTGATTTATTAGATTAAAATTAAAATTGTTGTGTGATTAATTTGATAAACTTATTTGCTTCATTTGCTTTATAATCCCTTTTTTTTATTTAAAATTCTTTTCGTTGTGTACTTTGTTCTCTTTTATCAAAAATTTAGTGCAGTATGGAATTCATATAAATAGATGGCGAGTAAATAATTTTTCCCTTCAAAATAAATGGATGAACTTTTCATATTTTATGGGAAGATTAAATCTCCCTCTATTTATTTCTTTTTTTTAAATGAAATATTTTAAATGCTAAGGTTGTATTTAAAAATTGTCGAATTAGCAGCGCAAACAAACCAGAGATAAACGACTGGTTTTAATTTAGAAAAGTGTCTGTGTTCTCTTCAGTTCTTCTTGCATCGGATCTTTCCCTGTTCATTGCTCTTTGATTTATCCCATTACTATTGATTATTCAAAGATTTGATGTTTTGATTTGCTATCTGTTTTGTAGAAACAGTAATGGTGTTCGTTTCATTTCGTTTCCCGAAAGTTACATTTCTTCTTTATTTCACCCTGAATCAATGCTCTGCCCCAGCACAATGGCAGCAATTTCGGGTTATTTTTTACAGTTGAAAGTTTAGGCTGAAGTTATGAAAAAAAGAAAAGTTGGAATCAGACTAATTTAGAGTTGAAGTTTTGTTTTGTCCAAAAAGACATAATGTTAAAATGAAATTTCTAATGAGATTCAAATTCAAATTATCTTTGTAAATTTGAAAAAATGCTTTTTCAGTTGTAGAAATACATGTCGATTAAATTTTTTTTTGAGTAAGAAATTTTCAGTAATTCAATTTCTATGCAAATATTCATTTCAGCAAGTACGTGACTCATCAAATACCATAAACAGACAAGAACTTCAGTGGTCAAGGAACTCACTGGAAAGATTTTGCCGTATGAATAATCGACAAAGATTTCAAGAGTTTCTTAAGCCAATTCTTGTGCCACGAATTGTTGGCACAGAATCTCATAAAAAAGTTGCTGAGGTTTTCAATAATTGCTCTTCAAACATTCTAACAATTCTTAATTGCTAGAAATAATAGCATATTAAATACTCATTTCTTAGGAAGAGCTGCACTACCAGTAGTGTATCTCTTCATCTTTAATCCAGTTCTTGATTTCACATCACATGATTTATTTAAATTTCATCATACAGCAATACTCTTTCGTTTTATTGGAAACTTCTAATTATTTATCGCATTTTTGAATGTTTAACAGTTGGTTCTGGACTGAGCGGTTTTCAAATAAGATTGATTATATTAGGATGAATAAGAATGATTGAATTTTTGTTTCATGTTGTTAATTTTGGTGCTTTTTAATTATAAATAGATTCCCGTAGCTACTTTCGTCATTTAGCATCGTTTGTTACGTATTGTTAGCATTAATAACTTCCATTTTTTTCCCTGATAATTTGTGGAATCTTAACATGATTAGAAGTGATACATGTTTGAACTTAAATAGTAAAAGGTTACACTTTTTTATTCTTTTGCATTTAATGATTTTTGCGATTGCAAAATTTTTCAGCACTTTTCAAGGACATTGTCGGCTTTAGGCTTTACAATTGAATGGGACTTGTTCGAGGAAACTACTCCTCATGGCAAGAAATTATTCAGAACGTTAATTGCTACTCATGATCCCAGTGTTCCTAGACGACTTGTACTTGCTTGCCACTATGATTCAAAATTCTTGAAAGGGTAACTATTCAACTTTCAAAAGAAAATATTCTATATTATTAAAATTTAAGCGGTAGGTTTTGCACTTCCACTTACAATTGTTTTCATCTTTCTGTGTTGATTGGATGAGATATTATATGTTTTATTTGCTAAATATATTCATAATTCATATATGATCTGCGGATATACTAACAGTAATTATACAATAGAGAAATTTTCATCGGTGCAACCGATTCTGCAGTTCCTTGTGCGATGCTACTCGACATGGCACATACACTCGGTCCACTCTTACATAATCGCAGAAGAAAAGTACTTCTTTTTTATGAGTGTTCTTATCAAATAACAATTTGATGATTATTTAAAGCACAAACATATGATTATATAGAATATTATATTAGATAGGGTATTTTTCAGAGATATGAAAAAGATATGAAGTGTATTATTCAAACTTCGATATTAAATATTTATTTTTCAGGATGTAAGTCTTCAATTGATCTTTTTTGATGGCGAAGAAGCATTTGAGGAGTGGACAGAAAAAGATTCATTATATGGTTCTCGTCACTTAGCTTCAAAATGGAATCAGGAATATTTCTCGAACAATTCATCTTCCGGAATTAAGGAAATAGATCGAATTGTAGGTTTTTTGCCTTATCTTAATTTAATTGTTAATCTTTGTTCATTTTTCTCATTATGCAAAAGTAAATTCTTATGTATATATTTTTTTTACCTTTCGTGAATTAGCTCTGTTTTGTCTTTTGAAATTACATCCAATCATTGTTATTCCTGAGATTCAACTAATACTATTAGTGTAAGTGTTTCTTTTCTATACCTATTTTTAATCTTCTTTTCGATTTAATGTAAAATTTCTAGAACTTTTCGTTGTTTTATGATATGATTTCTGATACTTTATTTAAAATCGCTTAATTTTTTAATCATTTTTCAAATTTTCTATTCAATCATACAATAATCTCTTGAAATTTTTTATTTAAAAGCCAAAAATCTACTCCTGCCTTTACTTTTTTATTTTTGTATTCTTTCTAACAAACAATTATAAAAAGTATGTTTTTTACCCGACATAAAATGTTTTAAAGCTACTACATAATAAGCAGTAGCTATCAGTCTTCCTCAACAAAACAACCATCAGTAGCTATCAGTCTTCCTCAACAAAACAACCATTTTGTAATTGAGAAAGAATAATCTTTATTACGTTGTGGAATAATTTTTGTTACGTTCAATTATTATTATCTAGCTAGCAAATAAATGAAATATAAAATTAGATTATTTTTAATTGTTATTTTATGGAAGATCAATATTTGGAAATTACTTTACAAGAGTAACAGACTACCCCCAAAATGTTGCATAAAATGTCTTAAGAATCTATATAACGATGAAATGTGTCACTATTTCCAGGATTTATTTGTACTGCTCGATCTCCTTGGTGCACCAAATCCGCTTTTTTACCACTTTGACGGTTTTTTATCGGAAAGTGCGTTTTCGGAAATGGTGAAGATTGGTTGGTGTTTTATTTAAACTTTCAAATTGTGATATTTGCTGTTTTTATTGTTAAACTTAGTAATAAAATTGCAAAATTTAATGGTACTTTATTGAGATTCGTTAGTTATTCTACATCACATTTTGTTGGAGCATTTCCTTTATTTACTTATAAGATTAATTCTACTTCTAATTGATGCAAATATGCATGATATTTGTGCCATCATTCTTCGTTATTATTCCAGTAGGATATGGGATCATTGTACCGAATTATTTATACTTTCTACACTTTCATTATCTTTTCAGAAATAGCGCTAAAGAAAATTGATTGTTTGCATCAGTTACAACCAGTATTTCAACCTCGAACGGTTTATAGTACAGTAGAAGATGATCACATACCATTCCTGAATCTCAAAGTGCCTATTTTACACCTCATACCTTTACCATTCCCGGATGTGTGGCATAAAGCATCCGACAATGCCAGTGCTTTACATTATGAAACCATTGATAATTTAAATTCTATTTTGAGAGTATTTGTTTCGAATTACCATAGATTGATAATATAGGATGAGGTGCACTCGGAATTTTAACTTGAATGAATAGGATTACAACAAGATTTTTTTTGGTACAAATTGTCAAGTAAATATCTGAAAAATGAATTGAACACAAGATCATTTTTTGCTTTTTATTGATTGCTTTGTTTTATGTATTTATACATAAATTCATTTGAAATGTCATGCCTGAAAGTTCCGAGTGCCCAAATCCTCTCCAATTAATTCCTTTGAAATAAAGTAAAATTCATTTTTAAATGGAATCAATGAAATTATTTATCTGGAAAGAATAGAAAAAGGAATTAATCATTAGAACCTTTTTTAGTATCAGAATTCAAATTGCGAGAAAGCCATGCTTTTGCTTACTCAATGCTATTTTTTAATCTTTGTCATGGAATTGAATCAGTTAGTAATCATTTTGAGATTTTTTCAGAGCAAAGCTAATATTGTTTATTAAATAGCTGTAACAAATTTTTCACCACTGGTTTCGACATTTGCTACTGGTATTGAAAAGAATTGTTTAAAAATAAGAACATA